AGTAGGTAGATCGCTCATAATCGCTTGCTCACAAACTAAAACAATCTTTACACTTCACACTTTTAAAACAACTACTTTATAAACACTCTTGAGGACTGATACAAAGGTTATTATAAAGCAACCTGCCTTACATTGGCATTTTCAAAACACTTTCCAAAACAAACACTTCCATCCAATAAATATTTTCAAAACAAACATTTTGTATACATTCTCAACAATATGAGAATCATTACAAAATTACCGCACTTAGGCATTTTACAAAATATTTGCAAACATACACAAACACAAAGCATTTCAAAAGTGTACTAGAAATTAAGAGCCCGTAGAAAACTACAGATGAAAATGATGCTATCACCTTCCCTTTTAATAACCTACCCCCCGAACTCAAGAAAATTCTCAAAGGTCTTTCCTGTTCTTTTCACCCTTTCCTTTATTGGATAAAAGAAAACTCGGTGACAACTCTGCTATCCGTAACATTTGCGATAAAGCACAAAACTCGAAAGTCAGTTCTCTCACCATATTACAGAACTGGCAACTCTGCTGGGGAATATAAACTAAAAATGGGGTTACCTTAAGAGCTAGATCATATTTATTGCTTTATTTGTTTGCCTTATATGCTTTATATTTCGGGATATGCTTGGGTTTATTTCTTGTATAGATCCTATACCCGGATTTTGGGGCATTTTAGGTAAGTAGTAATAGATCGTGAAAAATGTATAACATAGACCGATATGGTTAAAACGATGGTTATGTTAGTGAAACACATTTGTTGGTGTCGGTGTCCCTTGAGTAAGTCAAGCAGAATGTTGGACTGCCACATGGTGTCATAAGCACTCACTGACCTTAGAACCTTAGTTGACATAACTTAGACATTAGAAAGTAGTGAGATGGCCAGCTTTGGTGCAGACTGAAGTTGGTTGATACTCGATCCTACACTCATTAAGATTGGACTTTCGGGATATTTTGGTTGCAATTCAGATGCTTGTGCTGAAACAATCCCTGAGAGAAAGATCAGTGATTTTGAGATTCCTAGAACCCGATTACTTCTTTTAGGACAGGTTAAGCCAACTAAAACTTCAAGAGGGTACTCACCTACAAACTCCATGAAAGCCTAAACCTAAAGCCCGATGTGTCTTGTTTGTGTTTGATTAAATTTTTCATCATGACATCATACCATATTCAATTTCACTAACCATTTCAAGGACCTAGTGATTTATATTTGTTCTCTTTGTAGGTTATGGCCTCCGCTCGCAGAAATACTATCTGAATCAGTTTGGTGAAGATACCTTCTCAAATTAAGGAGTTAGTCTCAAGGGTTCCCGAAATTTCACCATTCATCAAAAGGCATGGTCGAGTATTCAGTTTGGTTACCTCGGGTTTTGAAGAAGACATGATGAGTGTTTTATTTCAGTTCTTTGATCCTGCACATCACTTCTTCACGTTTCCCAATTATCAGTTGGTACTCACAATGGAGGAGTTTTCTCAATTATTGGGAGTACCTGTTCTCAATCAAATACCTTTCACTGGTTTAGAGAAATTGCAGCAACCTTACATCTGAAGCGGTCTGACATTGTATCTAATTGGGAAACAAGGAGTGGAGTCAAGGGTTTTCTAGCTAAATTTATGTTAAAGAAGGCTCGGCTGTTTCTGAATGCTATGAGTTTTCAAGCTTTCGAAGAAATCTTGCCTTTGTTGATCTATGTTTTGGTGCTATTCCCTAATCCAAACCAACTCATAGATGTGAATGCCATCAAAATATTTCTTTCTCGTAACCCCGTGCCTACCTTTCTCGGAGACATTTTACATTCTCTTCACACTCGTACTATAAGGAAGCGAGGGACTCTTATGTGTTGCATACCTCTGCTATCAAGGTGGTTTATTTCGCACATTCCCCGGTTAGTAATAAAGAATGAACAAGGTTTGAGGTAGTCTCAAAGGATGATATCGCTTTGTCATTCAAATATCTATTGATGTTCCCGATCTTTGAAAGATGTTACTATCATTGATTGTTGTAGAGAATTCCATAATGTTCCACTCCTTGGCATTATGGGAGGTATTACTTACAACCCTTCTCTGGCTCTACGAAAATTTGGTTATGCTCGAAGAGATGGTCCTCATGAAGCACTTATCCAGGGTATTATGTTCGACTACGAAAACGATCCTCAAGGTTATCATCAAAGGTTTATACGTGCTTAGGGCATGGTAAAAAAGTTTGATAGAAAAACTTTAGGACAAAAGAATTTTATCCCTTTGGAGACCTATCTCAAATAGGTACGAACTCGCGCTCAAAACCTTATGATTCCATATCCAGCTTTTCTATCGGTGATCTTAGAGCCTGTAGTCGAAGGAGATATTTCTCGCATCATCCTCCACCTGGACATGCCTATTGACCTCGAAGAATTGCAGAAGTCATAGATTCAACTCTAAGAAGAAAGGAACACCTTCGAGACTCAATTTTATTCAACTTTGGAGCCCTAGGTTCGTCGTTAGTGGTAAAGGTATTGAATTTGATCCCGCAAAAGTTAAATCTATTTAAGAAATGTCGGTTCCCCATACTGAGAAAGAGATCAGAGGTTTCTTAGGATGACTGACTTACATTGTCTGATTCATCTCTCATTTGACTGCTACCTATGAGCCAATCATCAAGCTGCTGAAGGAAGATCAAGTAATGAAGTGGAACCATGATTTCCAATTAGCCTTTGATAAAATCCAGGAGTATGTAATACGGTAGGAGAACTGACTTGGTTGTTTTGCGTTTTATCACAATTGTTGCAGATATCAAGAGTCGCCACCAACTTTTCTTTTATCCAATGAAGGAAAGGGTGAAAAGAACAGGAAAGACCTTTTGAGAATTTTTCTTGAGTTCAGGGGGTAGGTTATAAAAAGGGAAGGTCTTAGCACCCTTTTCATTTGTAGTTATCTATGGGCTCTTAGTTTCTAGCTCACTTTGAAATGCTTTGTAAATGTGCTTGTGTTTTATTTTGAAATTATTTTTGAAAAGTGCCTTTGTTTAGGCGAACTTCATAATGATTCTTGTCTCTATAAGAATGTATTCAAAGTGTTGACTTTTGAACATATTTCATGAAAGTGTTGGTGTGTTTGAAAGAGTTTTTTTTTAAAATGTTTTGTGAGCGAGCAACTACAAATGTTCTACCTACTCAAAAGAAGTCATTGTTCTTTTCCTCCTCCTTTAGATATTGTTATCTTACCCTTGATTGGTAAGAAGTTCTATCATTGGATGTGAAGGGACAGGCGCGGGTCGACGTACAGTCATAGAAGGCAACTTATAGGATGCTTTAGCAATTTCGCAAGGGACTAAAATCATTTTACCGAAGGAAACATCGAAGGGTCATCGAGGGACTATGATCTTTTAATCGAGGGTCTTTGCTAAAACGTCCCACATTCGAGGGACATGACTATATTTTTTCGAAGGCAAAAAGCGAGGTCACCCTAGAGGTGCATGTGTGAAAAGTGATTTGTTTTCAATTATTTTATCTTGAAGTTAGGGTTATCTAGCGGTTGATTTTATGTCTTGCCATGAACGCCTAGTTACTATACAATATAAAAGAAAACATTAAATTGCGGAAATTAAAGTTCTACGCTATTACAAAGTTTCTAGAATGGGGATACAAATTTATGAATGGGGATGAAGTATAAGCCTAATTAAATTATTACACGCCTTACACAATAACCATAATCGAAAAATGCGAAAATAGTGAATTATAAAGAAAAGAGAAAAGGGAAATTGTTTTATGATTTTATCAAATAAAGGAATTAAACCAAATAAATGTTATGAACAAAAATTCGAAAATTAAGAATTCTAAATAATAATATTTTTGGTTTTTTTTTGTTTGTGAGAAAATTTCAAAACAAAATAAATAAAAAAACCTACTCTATTATTTTTTTTTTGGAATTTTTGTTTATCATGAAAAGAGAATAAAACAATTAGAAGAAATCAACTAAAAAATAAAATGTTAATTAACAAAATTAATTATTCACAAAAACTCCTAAACTAGATTTAAAACTAAACTAATTAAGAAAATATGAAACTAAGAATTAAACTAAACTAATTAGTAAACTAAAAGAGTTATGAACATTTAAACTACACAAATTAAGATTGAGGGTGCGAGCAGAATAGGGGGTGATGCTGGAAATTCACAAGGGCTTATGACGATGATTTAAGGCGGAGGCCCAAACAAAGAAAAGGGGGTTAATGAGGAAAAAATGAAAAAATATCCCCGGGGGGTCTCGAACCCGGGACCTCATGTTTGTATGCCAATACCGCAACCACTACAGCACCTGATCATTTGTTTATTTCTGGGTTTGCATTAATACAAAAAGTATAAATTGTTAATGGGTTGGGCCAAAAATATAAGCCCAAATCCAGTTCTGTTAAGATGAATAGAGAGAGTTTTGAAAACCATAATTTGAAATGAAGGTTGTCGCGGCTGTAGCATAGGGAAGAGGAAAAGTTAATTATTAATCTTTGTTACTCCAATAACCCAATCAAAACAAGAAATAAATTTTCTCAATTTTATCTCAAACAAAAACCGTACTCCCTCTGTTCCTCCATTTTTCCTCAACCGAAAACATACTTCCTTTCCTCTTCCTCTCTTTTCTTTCAACTTAACAATACAACTGATAAAAATCCTACTACTCCTTTATCTGAAAAACTGCCAACAACAACTCACAAGCAATTTCCGACATCATAAACGTGAAGGAAAGAAGAACTTACAAGGGTGGAACTAGTCCGACGAACTTACGGTTTCGACGAAGACTTTAACGGGTAAAGATTTGAATCTGACTTTCTTCTTTTTAATAACTTCTTCCTCTGTAATTGAATTGAAATTATTGGTGTTCTTGAAGCTATTTGTTGACTGCTCCAGCTGAGTTTTGTGTTAAAGTTTTGAGTTTTTGCTCTGAGTTCTGCAGGTATTGTTGAAGATTTGGGGGATGCTTGTGATTAGGTGATTATAGGTGGATAACGAGCCACCGTTGATTCACAATGGTGGGTCGAGCTTATTTAAGGTGTGGCTAGGAAGTGCCACAGACGAAGGGATTATTTTTTGGTTGCGGAACAGTGGAGTACGTGAGGTTTGGGGTGTAGCTGACGAAAGGGAGTATGGGCTGGTGTTTGAGTAAAGGTTCTGTAAGTCTTTTTTCTGGTTTTTTTTCTTAACAAAATCCCCCCTTCTTCTGTAATCTGAAAATGGTTTATATAGGTGGATTAATGGGTTTTGGGGGGAATGGATAAGTTTTTGAACTATTTGAGTGCACTGTTTTTTGTTGTTTTTCTGATGCAAGCATTGTCTTTCCATTTTTGTGAAATTTTTTATATGTTTTTGGGCTGTTGTTGCAGGTTTGATAATGTATACTTCAATTTAGCAGTGGACAACAGGAGGTTTTGTAAACTGCTTTGCCACTTTTTATTACAGGTTTTGTGTTTTGCCATTTTTATGCAATTTTTGGCATTTCTTAGACAACATCTGTGGACTATTTTGACATGTTTTCCTCTAGTTTTTGCAGGCTGTTTTGTAGTGGACAACAGGGCAGTGGTAGTGATTTTACATAGCAGACCTTTGGACTAGTTTGGACAGTAGCATAGTTCTAGTGGGCTGGTGCTGCAGCAAATGAGCCTTGTTTTATGCAGCAAGAAAAAAAGAACTGGAGCAAAGATGGACTTAAGTTTTAGGTTTGAAGATTAGGATTTAGGTTCCATGAACTTTTGATGTAATTGACTTTTGAATTTCGTCAAACAAAAGGTGATAGTGATGTAATAGATTAAGCTAGAGACTTGAAGCATTCTTTGTAATGGCCTTGAACTTGTAATGTATTGGTACTTTTTGTAATGAGATTTGATGGTTTTGTGTGAACTAAGAATTTTTGTGTTGAATATTTGAATGAAAAAATGGTGGTATCAGTTTGCTTATTGAAGTAGTTTTGTTGTTAGTTTGAACAAACGAACTGGGTGAAAGAATGTGTGAGCTGGAAAAATGCCAAAACGTTAAGCTGGTCTGTTCAAAAATGCATCTTCTATTTTGCATGCACATAAGTTTCGATTTGGCTCAATAAATCAAATCCTCAACTGTCACGCCTATATGATGCAACACTGTAACATTATCCTCACACAAAGTTTAACGTGAAATAACTTTCCCATATTGTAATGTTAATGCAACTTTAGGTAGTTGTCCTAAAGAGCTTGTATCTTGGTGCACAAAGATTCAATTGACACAAGGATAGTATCAAATGAAATAGGGAGTGGAAGGGAACAAAGTTGGTGTTGTGGACCTCTTGAAAAAAATGATCGAATCACCATGTAATTTGGCCTATATCTAAAGTCAACTGAAATCTCTTCATGAATTGAATCCAAACCAATCAAATATCATACTTGAATCTTGAGCAAATCATAACAAGAATGCTTGGATTCCATGTTGGCAACATCTTGAGTTTGAAATCAAACTTGTAGCTTTTGAAACTTAGATTAGAAAATTGATACGAGAAACTTGAATCATGCATGAATTTGAAGAATGGTATTTTAAACTTGGTCCTAAAGACACTTTGAATGAATCTTGAATTAAACAAGTGATTTTTATGAATGACAATACTTGACTCTTGATAAATCCTTGAACTAGGCCAAGATAATTGTTTGGAATTTGTTATGATAATGCATCAATTTAAACAGGAAATTGAATGAAATTGTTTGGAATACTTGATTCCATGAACTTATAATCAAATTGCATCAACAAATGCCCATGTGTACATTTTTTTTGAATCTTGACAAAACGATACACAAAACCCTAATTAGGAAGGAAGAGACATATGAAACCTCACCTTGTAGCTTAACGAATCGCTAACTTTAATTCTTCAAATTCAAGTTAACTCGAAAATGAAGTAAACAAGTTATTTGATGAGAACCAAAACTATATCGACCAAAGTGAATTACAACTTGTACTTCAACCCACCGCAATCAATAATGCCTTCATGAATTGAAATTAGAAGCCAAACCCTTTTTTTAAGTCAACAATTAACCTATAATGTTTCGATAAGTTTCAAAACCTTCTAAGCATAATTTAACTCTGATCTTTAATGAAAACTTGTTGATGACATTCCTTATGACAATGTGCAAATAATCATCTCAAGATCTTGAAAATTGAGGAAATTACAATTCTTGGAAGTCATGTGACAGTTACATGAGATTAGGTCAAAGTCTAGAAAGTGACCTCTAATGTATTCAATCTTTTGGTGATCTTACACATAAAATCATCCCTTGACTTTTAAAGTTAAGTTGGAGATGACGTCAAGGAGAGTCGTACACAAAAAGAGCCACTCAAAAATATTGAATAATGAAAAAGTTATGATCGTTTGAACTTGAACTTGCAAACGTTGACTTTTTGCCTAATATAATTGATTTTCAGTCATCTGAGCCATTGACAGAGCAGGCTTGTGATGGAAGGCTTTGAAATTTGATATGAGCATTCTTGAATACATATGAAGCACCATGAAAGCCACTTGAAATCTTGGAAACCCAATCTTGCTTGAGAAATACCAAACCCTAGTTATTGACCCAATGCTTAAGAGGAGAATTTGTCTGATCAATTCTTGAGCCATCTTGAGCATTTGAGAAACCCTAGGAGAATATCTTGAATGAAAAATGGGAGGGAAAATTTTGGGGTACAATTGTTGTCCTGTTCTATCTTCTTGAACCTTAAGAGTTAGATTGGCATGTCCGCCATTCATGACTTGAAGGTAAAAGATGATTGAACACTTAAGTGCCCAGAAATTTGCACTCGCCTGTGAAAGAAGTAATGATGTTGGTTGATTATATCGAGAATGGGCTTAAAGATTCCATTTAGAGAGTGAAGAAATATTATCGGAGATGGGCTTATAGATGTCATCTAGAGGTGATGAAGAGTCGTCAGAATAAGTCTACGCTCGATTGTATCTGAAGAGGTTTCAGAATAAATCTATGTTTGATTTAAACAGAGTCTGGAAAAATCTACTCGGAGAAGTATCAGAATAAATCTTTGGTTGATTTAAAACTGAGCCTGAAAAAGTATCTACTGATAGAAGTATCAGAATAAATCTTTGGTCGATTTAAACTGAGCCAGAAGATGTATGTAATTGTATTTAACTGGATATGAATCAGAACAAATCTTAGGGTCGATTTAACTGAACCAGAGAAAGCGTCTATTGGAAAAGGATCAGGATAAATCATTAATCGATTTAAACTGAACCAGCAGAGGTCTTGAGTTGTCTTTAACTGGATAAGAATCAGAATAAATCTTAGGGTCGATTTAACTGAACCATAGAAAGGGTCTACTGGAAATGAATCAGGATAAATCATTGGTCGATTTAAACTGAACCAACAGAGATCTAAAATTGACTTTAACTGGATATGAACCAGAATAAATCTTAGGGTTGATCTAATTGAACCAGAGAAAGTGTCTACCGGAAAGGAATCATGATAAATCATTGGTCGATTTAAATTGAACCTGCTGAGGTCTTGTGAAGGAAATATTCATCGTTGATGATATTGATCTATTGATCGATCTTTCCTGAAGAGGTAAAGAGTTAGTTGTATGCAATGTCATGATGTATGAAATGCATTGTGTAATGATGTTCTCAAAATAAATGCATATACGCATTTCTCATTCACATGTCATGATGTATGAATGTTGTTGAAATGTATGTTTGTCTGGGAAAATAAATCCCTGACTATTTCTGGGGATGAGGAGTATGGGTATCTTGAACTTTGTCTAGAATACTTCCGTTAGGGATTCCTGTTTGTCTTTTGAGGAAACTTCGCTGTGGATGTTGATTTCTTCTTGGGGAGTAGAGTTCAGGGACCTTAGTCGTTCGTTGCTCTACTGGGGAATATAATTCTTATATGACCTGACTGGGGATAAAAGAGATTATTAAACTTCTGACTTGTCTGAGGAGAGTAAAGTTGACTGGTATTCTGGTTGGACTCCGGGTTTTGCAGCAACTTTCTGGGGACAGTGGCAATTCTATTAGGGAAGAAGAGTTTTGTCAGTGATTTGTAGTAGTCTGAGGAATAGACTCAAGCTTGGGAGATTGTAATCCGTTAGGGAAATAAACCCTGTTGAGGGAATTATTTTGGCGACCTTAATGGGGAAATGAATTCTTTTGGGGAAGAACTTTTGCAAGGTTCTCTTTCCAGTTTTGGAAGAATAAACTCTGCCGGGGAAGAGAATTTCCAGGAGATGTATTGATTGAAACTCCATAAATAAATTGTGAGGAATATATGAATTTATGAGAATTACTTTGTGGGGATAATCTCATAGAAGTGGCTCTGTGGGGTTTTATGGACAGCTTGAGTGTCATCCCCACTCCTAAAATATTGAGTAAATGCTTATTACTGTTCTCATGCATATATTTGTGAATAGTTAATCATGTTCATATGCATATGTTTATTCAATTTTAGTCATTAGAAGTTTTTGAAATCAAAACAGAAAAACAAAAATTTTACACTTCAAAATGTATTTGTATTTATAAGTTTCCTATAAACAGGCGATTTTGTACAAAGAGATAGAAATCCTAGTAAGAGGAAATCGTCGTGAAATGAAGGAGTACAAAGTGAAAACAAATATATATATATATATATATATATATATATATATATATATATATATATATATATATATATATATATATATATATATATATATATATATATATATATATATATATATATATATATATATATATATATATATATATAGAGCCATGTGGAAGTGATCTCATTGGGTTCCAACTCTACTATTGCCCCTATGTATTCGAACATCTCATCCATTGTCGTCTTAAGAAGCTGATTGAATTGATCTTGTACCATTTAAAATTTTGACCTTGGTAATAAGCTAGTTGTAGTGATCCAACTGGACAAAGTCGTACGCTTTAATCCCTAATTTTTTCCTGGACCACCCTTTCGGGTTTTCAGTCCACCAGGATACCCTTTTTTTCCCAAGCCGCCCTTTCAGGTTTTCAACTTGTCGGGTGTATAATCTTTTGTATATATCCCTAATTTTTGCACGAACCCTTTTGGTTTTCTGGGATGCCCTTATTTTTCCTATGTATGTCAACCTAGTGGGTCATTCTTATGCGTAGTATTTTTTGACTATGTTCGCGTTCACAGGGTGCGGGAAATCTTCACCGCCCATAGTGGTTAGCATCATAGCACCGCCAGAGAATACTTTCTTGACAATAAATGTCCCTTCGTAAGTGGGAGTCCATTTTCCCCTGGGATCACCTTGTGGTAGAATGATGCACTTTATTACCAAGTCACCATCCTGATATACCC